TATCAGATGGGATTGATCTACATTATGAAGAACTCAAGTTAACAGCTTTTTCCCTACCTCACGTGTGCTTGCACCTTCCAAAGCCCAATTCACCAGTCTCTTGTTAGTCAAATAGTGAAAATTTTCTGATACAAGTAAGTAATTAATACATTTCCATTTGTAAGGCCATAAGTGTGTGAATATCTGACATTTTGCTTACTGGCTCATTTATCTCAGAAGAGAAAAATTAATGACAGATAATCAAATAAAACACTAAGTATATTAAACCTATCACTAGGTACCAAACCATCAACACTAGGTGCCTAAATCAATTTCTATCTGACAAAGAATGTGAGAGTAAGCTTCACCCCCTAGTATGAATCCATAATCCATAATGGAGAGCTGTAATAGGACTCAAAAAGGGCCTATGTTCTTATGAAGATTTTTGTAATTTTGGTGGTGAAAGTGTGTCTCTGAAATGTTTGATATATTTTTATATACATCCTCTATTAGGGAACTGGGAATGCACATTAAGATATTAGTAATATACAATCCTTACATTTCTCAAATAATCTACTAGCTAGTTATTATAACTTACACGTCTAAGCCATAATTATATAGAAAGAAATACATACAAATCCCAGTAAAATTACTTTATGGGAAATAAGTGAACCCTTACTCGCAAAGTTTGTATTTAAGATAGTCTTAACATTAAAGGTTAAAGGTTTGGATTTGGAAGTTTGGATTTTGTGGAATAATCTAATTGTCTAAAACATTTTTAAAGTCTTATTCAAAAAGGGAAAGGAGTGCTGCTTCCTTTAAATCCTTCAGAAATTAAGCACCAGATATGAACTTATTTGTCTTCTCAGATTAGTGTATCATTGAAGGAAGTAGATAACTACCCCAAAAGTCTCAACAGGTGAGGAAAGTAGCTCAATAGGTGGAAAGATAAACATAGGGGGGCTTGTAGTAATCTTGGAAGTTTTAGAGCCATCACTGTCTGGTTGCATTAAATTAAAGAATTTTCATTATCACATTTTAATGTTTCTAAGAGTATTTAAAAAATTTCATTACTGTTGATGCTATCTGAAATCCTGCCTAATTACTTTAAAAATGCAACAAGATAATTTATCATAACTAGAATTCATACCGTTCAGCATAGTACACCTTTGGTGCACCAGATCAAAGTTTTTATTAATCTTGTTAATTCTTTCTAGGTTATACATCCCAGACAAGTGAAAACAAATCCCCATCTATGGTGTTCCAGAGAGTAGGGTGAGAAAAGGATTCTGATAAAAAGGTAAATGGATATGGAGGACTTTTATCATAATATCATTTCAATGGACGAGAAAGGAAGTTTTACTAATAAATGTGAAATATATTCACAACATCCTTGTTATCACGAGCATATTGAATTTGGAATAGAAAATTCAGTAATTTGAGTTTTCATACAACTCAAGATAGACAATTTTTAATGACATATAAGAGAATCAAACCAAAATCTTTTAAGTGATCTACTGCTCATTAGGAAATTACCCGTCCTGCATCAAATATATGTAAAATGAAAAAAGTAGAAGTTTACAGATTATGACAAGTACCGATTATTTGCAACATACATTACAATCCTTCATAACTCAAAAATGATGCATCCTAGGAGCTTTAAATGATGTTATCATGTCCCTGAAGTTTTGTGAGAGCAGATGAGGTTTTATGAGAATAGGGAGTTATGAGTTTTGTTTTCTAAATAATATTCTTCTAAAGAAGACCTTCTATTAAATATATGGAGATTTAGCTCTTCTCTACTCTGTTGCATGTGTAATCAGATTTGAGAAGTATCTTGATAACTATGTAAACTTAAAATTGAAGGAAAGGAAATAATTAACAATAAAATCAAAGCTATTTGATTTTTTTGTGAAATTTAATCTCAATGCCAGGAGTACTGGAACACACAGTTCAAAGTGAAAATCCAGTATGAAGTTACTTTTGTACGTCATATAAAACAGAAGTAATTTTTACATCTAAAAAACAATTTACAAAATATTAATTCTTTCAAGGGACTGGCTAGTATTATTTCATTCAAAAGAATTTGTTATAATCTAATTCCAATTTAAATGTTTTAAATTTCATAAAAGAAATTTAGTTTTATTGATTGAGAGCTATTTCCCTACATAACAACTTAAGAAGAGTTTCTTTTTATATTTTGAACTTGAAGTTTAAGACAATGCTCAGTAAATTACGCAATTGTCTAGTACATCTACGAGTAAAAACCTTTTCTCATTCTGCCCGTCACTGCAAGTTTTACTTACTTCTGCTTACTCTCAGCAGTTAACAATGTCCCTGCATGCTACACAATATGAAAGGAATATTGGATGGATGGTACAAACAAATAAGATAACAACAAAATGATAGAACAAACAGAAATATATTCTGCAATATGGTTAAGAAATGAATGGTTGACATAATATCATATCATTTCAGTAATTTGGAAATTGTCTAATAGTATACTTGAATATATACTATTAGAATCTTCTCACACCCACATTTTAACAACAAACTTTGACCTCACACAAGCATATTAGCTTAGTCCAAAAACTGTATTTTCATTGTGTAATCTCCTTGAGTCTATATTATTGGCATCTGAGTAAAACACAACTTGACATGAGGCGTACACCCCTAGCTGTGTTGTCACACACTGCATCTGTGTGGTTAAACAACTGGTGTGTATGGACACATTGCCAAGAACTTACTCATTTTGGCACAACATGAAGTGGAAAGTTTGCAGATATGAGATTTATTGTGACATATTCTTGGCACTGTCCATAGTAGATATTCAACATCCAGGTCAAATAATTAATGCTAAAACACATTAGTTAACAACTATAAATTATATTGTGCAATGAACTAAAGCTTTTGAATATGAAATTTAACAAATATAGTGCTCTGCATAAATATTTGTAAATGATTAATTATGGAATGAGAAAAATATTACTTTTGTACCGAGATAAACTATACCTACTTCATTCTTAGAATTCCCTCAAAAAATTCGTATGTTTAAATTTGATATACAATAAAAAAATGCATTATTCACAAAAATGTAATATAAATCAAATATTTCATTTTCATATCTTATAAAGCAGTTTCAGGATAACATTTGAAATGTCTCAATCATTTTCTACTAATAAAAATATTTCCATAAAAGTGGTAGTAATTTATATGTACTTGTCATAGTAAAATATGCACATAGTATAAATTTACAATATGCCTGTAATCAGAAGTTTTGGAAATCAGTAATTTGTGCATTATAAAGTAAATGATCAATTCCATTCATAATTGCACATAATGTACATTAGTACATCAAGGGAAATTTGTGACAAGACCATTGTGGTTCAGCATGCTTGGACCAAAGTGTGGAAAATTTCCTTCCATTTTGTACTTGTATTAAAAAAAGGAATGTTCACTTATAATATTCATAAATAAACTACATAAATACGTAGTTCTTGAAGGAAGGCAATAATTCAAACAATGAAATTTCAAACACTTTTCTCTTGTCCCAAGAATCATTTTCAAACTTTTGCTGATTCTGATACCTGCAATAATCTTACAAATCTGTGATTTGTCCTCCACGTAGAGAAATATTGTTTCAAAGTGCTGAGCAACATTGCAGGAACATAATTCTCTACACCCGGCAAACTTATATAGTTCAACAATCTCCTTGCTTTCATTGTTTCATGTTGACTTCACCACAAACACTTCTAAGAATGGCACAGATTTAATTAAAAACTGACATTATAAAATTTTAAAATTATTTCAAATTCATTAATAAATCGTACTTTAAATAACAGTTCTCTTGTTGCTTCATGGAACACTAATTTTCACTTACTACTGTTTATTTCACTAGTGCCAAGAATGGGCCACCATTTTATTGAGCAAAAGGACACTCTTAGATTATTAGACCAGGGGACAGCATAAAAACATTCAACAAAACAGTTCAAACACTGAAATACTATGTGGATAACTTTGAATAGGCCTTCTCTGGGAGCACATCTAACTGAAGTCAGTCGATGTAGGAAATGTCTTGTAGGCCTACAATATGTAAAATAGTCATTGAAAATATATGCGTGACAGATTTGTTGGTGGTCAAATTGTAAAATAATAGAGGGTTACATTTTTGGAAGATACAGTAACATTATGCGGAAATGTAAAAAAAACAACAAATCCAGCACGAATTTCGTATTGGAAAAATTAGAGAACCACTTCGTAGACAAGTTTCCAAAAAGTGTGGTTCATTCATGCAGTTTTGTGCATGAACTGGACTTAAATAGGGAGATTAAAATTGTCCACAGATGTCAACATTCAGATGATACATTGACATAGAAGTACTGTAGTGACAAAACAACTTTCAATCTCATTATCAGACACCAGTTAATAAAGTGTTTCCTTAAATCTGATGGAAGATTTGAATAATGATGCATTAATGATTTATTATCACAATGTTTGTATTGAAACAGTCACAAGTTTGTCAACTTTTGATAAATATTCATTGCATTGACATGAACACAACAACTGGTGTAAAGAATTTATTTTCTTATTGTGATTTTCATGTGAAACGTAGAATGTGAAGTTATTACCATCTCTCTCTTTACCCAAAGGGAAAATTCACTTCATCTGAATGTTCGACTAAAATAGAATACTGACAAAAATAGGCCTTTGCGCTTGTTTTTCCGATCGGAGAAATATGAGGCAACGACATAGTGGATTTGTCCAAATTACCATGGGGAACAACAACTTCATTTCTTCACACGTAGAACACGAATCTGTCCCCAGAACGTTTCAACGCGTTCCCGCGCGACGACCACACCACACTCTACGACACCCAGCGGCTAAAAGGAACACCACCATCGCCAAGTAGTTCCACGCGCGTCCGTCAGATGACAGGAGCAGCATCTCCTAGTGCCCAACAGAAACACCGCCACCGCCAAGTAGTTCCCTACGCGTGCGTCGGATGGAAGCGGCAGCATGCGTCACACGGATATCTCCTGGATCTGCACACGCTTCTTCATGGTGCCAGGCGTCTGTGGACAGCCCTGTTGCCGCAGGATGCCGCCGCTGGCGCCGGCTTGGTTGCACAGCGTGGGCGGTTGGTGCTTGGGCGGTGGCGGCGGGTCGGGGATGGAGGGTGACGTCAGGCGGGTCGGGGGCGGCGAACCGCGGGGCGACGGGCCGGGGTTCACGAACTGCTGTTGCTGTTGTTGCTGCTGCTGTTGATGCTGCTCCTGTTGCGCCTGCAACACACATTGGGGATAGCACACACGTAGCTGAAAAATTAAATTTATTCACTTTGTTTATGTAGAGGAAGGGGAGGGGGTACGTAATAGCCTTGTCAATTCGGAAATGCATACTGACGAATTGCCTCTCTTTTGAGGACCAAAAGACTCATGTTAAGAATCCTATCATTATATTGTCTCTTCGTTTACTAATGAATAGTTTTTGTCAAAAAACGTGGATGGAAACATATTTTTGCCCAATATATCTGTAATTTTAACACGCGATGTAGAAGTCTGAGATCAGTTTCCTAATCATAGATTTTAGAACCCAAGTGTTCTAATAATGCATCATCAGTCTGTCATAGTTTGTAGGATGAATATTCATATCTATACGAAAATTACAGTCGATTGAAATTTTTTCAAAGTAGATAAAACTTAGTAGAATATACGAATTACAAAATCTTATTACAATACTCTATTGGTTATTTAACACGGTATAAGAGCATTGTTGTATCTAATCATCCAGTCTCGTATTGTGTTAGAGATATGATATTATTTCGTAACGCAGGCTTCGAAATAAACTAAACAAGGTGACCACAAACTTCATCCTATTCAATTCATTAACATTTCTAGACATTGATTGTTTTTTCGGGTATAATTTCCTTTATAACTATATGATTTGATTCAACAAGTTTGTAGTATTCGCATTTTGAGTTCTGATTCTCATTTTTTTTATAATTCCAAAAATGACATTAAAAAGTGAGGGTTGAAGAGAACAATTTAAGAAACATTGAGATATTTAAATGAGGTAAACATATATTTATGGTCATGTAACAAGCTTGAGTCCACCAACTGGGATATGAAAAATACACTCCAAAGAACCGAAACGAACATGACTTTTTTTAATATTACAAATTTTAAATATTTGCTCTAACAAGTGAAAAAACTCCGTGACTCCTGATTTCCTGATTGATGGTTACCCATATAAAAACATGAAAGTAAAAAAAAATGCAATTTGCTTACTTTGAAATATTATTTTTAAAATATAGATTCAGCTAGAGCCATTCTAATACAGCGAGGGAAAATGCAGTTTTACTGATTCAATTTCTCAGACTCAATCTGTTTTAAAACCTAATGAAAATGATAAACAGAAATATTTCACTTTCGTTTTTTCATTATCCTTCAAGTTACTAAACAATTTGGATTACTAATGACCTTAACGCAAACAGTTTTATTCAGTAAAATAAATGGAAAAATTATATCGACTTTGAGGTTAAGTTTGCGTGAAAGGTGTACCTTTAAAGGTCTGTGTGTGCACTTTTATTTTATATAGATGTTACGGATAAAGATCATCACACAAATAATGTTAGGAGAATGCAGTAAAATCGTACATCAGCCAGACGCTAGATAAAGGAATAAAGAAGTATCTATGAGAACGAACAGATCGTTTCGGATTTCATTCGGATAGTGTTGAAATCTGCCACATGAGCGCTTGTAGCAAAGTCATATATAGTGAAGCGTCTTTTGTGTTCGTAAGAAGTGGCAAAAAAGCGAAGAAAATTATGTTTTGCTTAGTCTCGAGATTGTTTTGAGTAAGTTGCCAAGGCTGAAGGCAATAGCTCCGTCGCTAATTTGGAAATCCGTAGCAAAGGGTCAACTGCTTCCCTTTATAAAGTCAAGAAGCTTCTTTGTTACGCTATCATTATTTTGCCTCTTTATTTATGGAACTATAGTTTTTGTCAAAAATGGGAATATATTTGTGTAGAATAAATGTATCTGTAATTTTCACACAAGGCTTAGGAATCAAACTCAGAAGTGTCAGTATTAACAGATTACTACAAACATTTCGTAATTAATACAAGAACATTGTTTTACAACATATTGCTGGATGGGATTAAACAGTTAATAACTATACACATGATTGAATGCTAAGTAAAACCTTTTCTGCTTCATAGCTATTTTTATACAATTAGAAACTACACTAAGCATCTAAATCAAACATTTTAATAGTGATATAAATGAATTAGTTTCTATTTTTTATGTCATAAATAGAAAATTATACATAAGCCTGTACCAAGTATTATACTTCAGTTTCTGGGTCAATATAAAGATCTACATTATCGACCAGATTACTTTTATTCAGTGAGAAAATGTTGATATTGCCAATTGATTTACTATTAGACAGTAAATGTAACCTCACTATCTGCGCACATTTTCTTGAGCTCTTTGAGATGTTATTGTGAATATAGATAAATTATTTCAGTATAAGAATGTACATACAAAGAGTGGAAATGTAGTAAATGCACGAACAGTACCATTAAATAATTTGTTCTCGCCGCTTACCTTCTCGTGAGGCAGATTAAGGGTAAAGAGTCGAAACATGTAGCTCAGTTACCGTGTTATTACACGCAAGTGAATATATCTAGTTTTCTCAAAACAGTTCGTTTCTGTCGTTATTCACAGCTCTACTTAATGAAGTAGAAGAGGGAGGGTTGGAATTCCAGAGCTATAGAAAACGTCCACAGATTGCAGTGACCTCCATGTATCTCACAGTTCTTTATGTATAGAATGTCACATGTAGAACGTCACTATCATGTTATACTACTTAACACAATATTGTTCAGGTGTCTCAGAATAAATGTTACAAACTTCGGCGGCGTGATGGAGGTTCAAGATAATCACTTTTTAATGAACATGTGATGGGAAATTGTACGAAACGAACGCAGTATGTGATATTTGTCCCTGATTACTAGGCAGAATGCTTAGCTGTTTGGCGGGTTTACGAAATGTTTTTGGCGACGTCAGAACGTGACCTGCCGAACACCAGCGCACGATGGGTTGTCTACCAATCAGGGGCAAATGTAACATGCGAAACTTCGTTACATAAGATTTCACCACGTGTTCATTGGTAAAAGGTGATGATATTTGTCCCCGATACATGCCGTAGAAGTTTGTGACATTCATTCTCAGACACGAGTAATACTTATTATAGTAACTGGATTTGTTCATAAGCTTTGACCAGCCAGTTCCCAGTGGCGCCTGGAGGGGCTGCGATATCAATGCATGATTTTGCTTTTTTGCATCGAAATAAAACCAAGCATCGATTATATGAGAAAACCAAAAAATCGACATTGGCTTCCGTAATCTACATTCGTACATTGTATAGGAGTCAAACGAACTAAAATCTGCACAATCCTACCAATGGTCGTGAATTTATTTAAACTGTTAAGTGTGACGGTTGATCTCTGAACTTAAAGTAAAAAAAAATCTCCCATCGTTTCTACAGAAAAATGTCTAAAATTGAAACAAATACTTTTTTATGTTATTGAAATTTACCAAGATATTTGGATGACTCTATTGAATGACCTGTAGGACAAAAATGGTGATACCTTTGGACAGGGTTGGATAAGGACGCAACTATTAAGACCAAATAAGTGTTGTATTCGAATACTGACAAGATTGATCGCGGTCGTACACTGATATTCGTTTCACTTCAATTAAAATATCAATCAACGTTGCCTAGTTGAGTGCCTGTCAACATTTCTAAAGGATTTCTTTAAATGATACAATTAAAACTATTGGTAAAGATGTTATATACATAACTTACGTTATATTTTTATGTGTCTATTAAACGAATTAAATTGGAGAACAGAAATATGCTTATAGAAAAGAGAAAAATATTTCTGAAAATGTAATACAAGATAAGGGACGACATATTGTATTGAGATATACATTCTGAACCTCAACTTTCGCCACAAACTTCGAAAGGATATCTGAGTAAAAATGAAGCAAATATGGCCCAGGGCAGTTACCACTAAATGCTTGATTTTCCAGAAAGGACTTGATGATATAAGAACTCGTAATCTTAAGAGTTGTTTTGAGATTTGAAGATTTGACATGTAAGTTTGCTGATTGGAAGGCTTAGGGTTGTATAACTAGACAGCCTGCTTACCTAGGGTTTTCGGATTCAAATATTCCGGAGGTTCTGGTTTAAAAATTCAAGGATTTGAAGACTCGGGTAAGAGAGCGCGTGGATATTTAGAGTTTCTGAGTCCCTGCAGTGTAGCATGTTACATCCGAGGACTCCTCCCCCCACTGGAACATAATATCCGGCGCGAACCTACATGTCAGCTCTTAGGTTTTCCATCACCAGGAATGGCGATCGGCAGTCCAGCATCCCAGCTCTAACACTAAGCACCTGACTAGCTTCCCAACACGAGATAGTGTACTGTATAGAAGTGAATGTGAGTACATGAGATAGGAAATAAGGAAAAAGGAAGAGTAAGAAAAGACCATGTGTGGCCTACGACCTGTTTATTAAAATCCTACTTCAGCATTCGCCTGGTGTTGGTCGAAGAAACAACGGGCAACTACCGATCCGAGCAGCCGGCCGGTAGAATTCTCTTCCAGACAGCGGCTGAATTCGAGTCAGCTATTTAGCTAGTAAACCTCCAGTTTTAGGAGCTCCCCGTCCGCGAGAGTGTGCTATCCCAGCCTGTGCAGAGCGAGCGAGGAAGGCCCAGCAAAACCATGCGTGCGTTCGCCGGACCTGCAGGCGCCACCCGCAGGCGTCCCGCCCAGCCAGCGCCCCGAGCGTTACCTGCTGCTGAGCCTGCAGCAGCTGGCGCTTGAGGGCGGCCGTGGGCGAGGCCTTGAACTCCTGGATGGGCAGCTCCACCGTGCCGCCCCCGCGGTGCAGGTGCTGCTGCGACGCCGACAGCGGTAGGTGGTCCACGAGCAGCGCGTGCTTCGCCTCGAAGTGGTGGCCGTCGCCCGACGACGAGCTGCAGCTGCCCGCCTCGGCCAGCTCGTCCTTCTTCTTGCTGCCGAAGCCGCTGCCGCCCGCGGCGCCGCCCGCGCCGCCGCCCGCGCCCCCGCCGCCTCCGCGGTCGCGCTGGTGGTAGATGCCCGCGAAGATGAGGATGTTGAGCAGCAGCAGGAAGCAGCCCACGGCGATCGTCACCGTCAGCGCCGTCGTGTAGCTCTGGTAGTGGCTCGACGCCAGCTTCCGCAGCAGGTTGTTGTCTGAGCACGAGCGGAAACACGCCGTCAACAAACGCTACTCACAAAGTAACGAGAAGTTTTAAGAAAACCACCACATGGCGGGTCATCTCCCTAAGTTTAAACATAATAAATACAGATCTAATAACAATAAATCCACAAAGTGGAGCCTAATGTCTGCAGTATTGGCGTTTTTACAATGGTTTTATACTGCTAGATATAGAGGCGAATTTAACCATACACTACATTATTAAACATTAAAAAAGAACGGAAATGGTGCCTAGTGTACACCATGTTGAATTTTTAGATACTTCATGTAGCCTATAACATTGGCGTGACTAGACACTATTGTAAGCATGCGTCCCATGAATAATTAGGGTATCAGTCAGGCGGGAGTTGGTAACGAAGGGACCCTGATACATCATAATGAAAACCATAACTCTCCCGGTTGCTTCGGGTAAAAATAAATCGAAGACAGCAAGATCTGCTAACCACCCTGCGTACTGGCCACTACAACCGCAGCCAGAAAAAAAAATGTTCAAAAAATCAGACCCTGACCAGTGACAAAGTTTCTGATCCTCTTTTTCTACGTCTTTCGTGGTATGTATGACAATAAATAAAGATATTGTCACGGTTATAATATTTAATTCAACTTTGATCATTTCGATCGCTTAGCGCATAATACCTCAGAAGCTTGCAGGGCTTCTGGCCGAAACAAAGTTTTGCAGAACTGACTGCAGAAAGAATGTTCTGCGAACTTTTGCTTCGCCCAGAACTGGCAGCTCTGAAGGTGATTCGTAAGCGATCGAAATGATCATAAGTTGAATGTAAAATATTGATACCCCTTGAAAAAAAAAAGCACTAAATTCTTTTTTTTTAAAAAATTTTAATTTTTATCATAATAAAAAGGTATGTACTTCACCAACAATCCATTAATTACAGTTCTTTCATGATCTTTAGCGTAACTCGCAAAGCGTCTCTGGAATCACCACCTCTTGTTTTGGCAATTTGTCAATGCAGGAAATACCTTTGTCATCTTTTCACATTTAGTGACCCACGGCCGCGTGCCCTCAGATTTCGAAGTGAGAGAATGTGACTAATTGTAATTGGAAGAAAAAGAAAGCACGTATTCTGTCCTGTTAGTCTTCAACGTACTGCAGCCACAGCACTGAAAAGAAAACTCGTAAACGCCTGTGTCTTGGAAAGTGGTCCTCACTTTCAGCATTTACTCGACGGTCAGTTTTGTGTCATTTTAAGGATATTATATTTTACTCCTTTATTAATTATTTTCAATAATTATTAATTTACTACTGATTTATGATTTATTGGTATTTTTAATAACTTTATTAAGGCTTTTTTATTTACTTATTAATCAGATTCACTAATAATAATAATACATTATTGTTATAAATAATGAAGACCTTGGTGGTAATGTTTCCTGAGATATTTTTCTCATTTCTGTCTGAACCGACTTTTATTCAATAATAAGTATTGTTACGCTGGTGGTAATAAATTGATAGACATAACATCCCTCCAAATTATCCTCTACTCTCTTAGTATTACAGTTTTGTTTCTTAATCATCAGGACAGAATCGCTTAAAGAGACGTTTTGCTTCTTGCTTATGTCTGTGTTCACCCCTTCCCTCCACACCCAAGCTGTGCAGCGCGAAAAGCTTTCAGCCTGTTTCGCGTTCCGTCCCGCCTAAGCTCTTCAATGAGAAAACACAGAAACAGGAAAGTTGTGGCCGCTTATGACCTGACGGTCGCCTCTGCTGTCGCGACGTGCGATACATGGCTGTCTTTAAAGGTGACAGAAACACACAGCTGCCAAATTGCCAAAACAAGAACACGTGCTGTCAAACAGAGGTTGCGAGTTAAGCTAAAGACCCTGTATTATTGTTCAATATAAAGAAACTCTTAATATTAGGCTATAATAAATTTCTCGTGTTATTTACCGACAAATAAAAATAGGATCTGAAAATTAGGATTGACCTGTATAACTCAATCTCTGGTGCCCTTTCCATGTAAAGCACACGATATCAGAGTTTCTTTAATTTGCCTGCTCCTCTTCACTGATACTTATTAATTGTTGAATAACAGGGTTGTTACCATCTGAATCCGGATTTTAGAAAGATGGAAGTTTTTGATTGCACGTCACGTTTGTCAATTGTTCATATATTTTCTGAAGGCCGGTAAAATTCAGTCCTTTGACAATGTCTGTCTTAAACAGAGTTCAAATTCGCTCTCGCTAGAACAATGTGTCCATATGCCTGAGACCATTGTCGTGCCTGTCCCTGGTGGCGAACGTGGAAGACAAAATCAGTTATAAGCATTAGAAGTCTGCAGTGAATCAAGTTAGAAAATTCCTAATAATACTTCATTTCAATGAATGATCTTGGCTATTCGGGTGCCTCCGAGTGGAAGCCCTAGGGCGCCATCGTTTCGACCATCTTGTTATGGTCTTTCTCAGACCAGCTAAAGTTAGCTCAGACCAAAACGTTAAAGGAATTACATATTTATGATATAGCGAGGAACCTGGTGGTGCTTTTCGCTACCTTAAGTGATTCACGCTGCTTTATACTCATGTATTACTAGTCAACATTACATATTATCGCGAGCTTAGAATAAAAATCTGCCATTTTGAGGAAAAATTGCGATATGGTATGTTTGTTCACACTATTGTCAGATCTACAACAGATTGAAATAATTTTTAACTCACTCATGTAAAAAATCTTCAATGAACCAAATATCATAACGTTTTACATAGCATTATTAGATATCTGCAAACTTTCAATTTGCTCTCCCTTAAAAATTTCTGAAAGTTAAATACAGCCATGTCGTTTTGAGGCCGCGATATACCCTATTAAGAGCCTCTTCATAATGACCCCCTTAGCGGCTCTTCTGATTGGCGCCAACAGAACGCTGTTCTAAACGATAGCCTTCACACCAGGCCACTCGGAACAGACACTAAGCTTAGCTATTTACATATTGGCTGCCTTTCGGCCGCTAGCGCTCAAAATGGTATGCCTCACGAATCCTTCCTTTCTCACGATTAGTGGCGCTGGTCGGTGGCTGTGTGTGAAGGGGCCTGACACTTCCCGGTGGCGCAGCTGAGTGGCTCCGTATGAAGGCGGCCTAACTAAGCTTTGAGTCCAGTGTGAGTAGGAGCGTCAAAGTGCGCCCACTTACTGTGCGCGTCCTTGCCCGCGGCTGGCCGCGCGTTGGCGTTGGGCGACCCGCCTCCGCCCCCACCGCCG